ATTTCCAATAAAGCCATTAATCCAAATTAAAATACGTCTATTCTTATGAAAAAAGAAGCATGAACCTCTAGGAAACTACAGACAGTAATGGACTAGAGGACATTTCAGTAACAATCCAAGATAAATGTACAGTGAAATCATACCTTATACTGATGGTGAAAAATCTCTGCATCTTCTCAAGAAAATCTCATAACTTATCAGAGAGTTTAAAAATACACTACTTAAACCATACTGATTCTTTTCTTAGTAGAGAAGAAAGCTTCACTACCATTCACTGACTTTATTCAGTGTCATCAAAAATAAAACAAATAGTTACAGGAAAAGAAAATCTACCATGTGCTTCAGTTCAGCACAGAACACAATGAAATGGGAACTCTGGAACTGGTTATGCCCAATGACGTAGGCTAACATTTAGACAGATATACATAACTCCCAAAATAAGTGCACATTATGCCCTTTATATTAATCCCATTTTATTTTTGCATATTTTATTGAGGTCGCTGGTTTAGGAGCCTAGTCTTTGCTGATTAAAAAATTCAAGATAAGAAGGATAGCCATCCAGAGGGAGATACAGAATGGGGATGAACAGTGCTTAAGAGATGCATTAATTTTTAATCTGAAGCCCCAAAATATAATCACATTCCAAATGGATTAAAAGAAAAGTTTTATATGGCCCTAATTCTGAGAGCAGAAAGAGTAGAGAATTAAGTGCCCCTAAACATGTTTTAGTGCCCAAAGCAGCGTGGGGTGGACCTCATGAGAATGTGTAGCTGGCTGAATTGATCAGGAATGAGCAAAAAGCATGCTTGTAGAAATCAGAAAGTGACAGAGCTGCTGGTCTGTCCAGAGCCTTTTCATCTAAAATGTCATGAACAGAAGGGCAGCTCCAGTCATCGCAGCAGGATCCTGACACAGCTCACACACTGTAATGATAGACACTGTTATCACGAAGGGTGTGGGAAAGTAATCCTGTTTCTCTATGACTTTATACTCAAGCCACCAGAATATCCAGATAGCAAAACTAGCTGTCCTTTATGTTGTTCCTTTTCTGGGTGTTTTTAAGTCTGACATTTCTCTTCTGAAGTTTCCTGGTACTCAGCTGTTCCACTTCACATACCCTGAACTTCATTTCTGCAGTTTTGATGTCTTTTAAGACACCACATTTCCTATAGAAGTGAGGTCAAAAGTTTATCATCTGATCCAACTCTCCTGTAGTTACAAGAACCCTTATTTTCTGCTTGCATTTTTTTTTCTTTTCTTCTGGTAGATTATATCAGAACTTACAGTATCAGCTAGGTAGGCAAATAGGTAGGTAATATTTTACATGACCTCTGTATTTACCCAAGTTTCTGACTGCCAGATATTTTCTACAATGATAGAAATACATTTTTCTGCTGATCATTTAAAAAATGAAATTAGAAAAAAATCAAGTTAACTTCTGTCACTTGTGTATCAGCATACTAATTGTGCATCATCATACTACTCAATGTTTCTGGGTTTAGTAAAAGGGTATTTGGAGTATTAGGACAACATGAAAATCTTGAGGTCAGTGGAACTACTTAGGTTTAAAATCCTCCAGTCAAATGCAATTAAATGGGATGGAGCACTGGAACCCCTGAACAGTGACTGAGGTTCACAATTCACTGCCCATACACAGTTCTTTGCAGGGTCTTACAGGAAGCTAATGCACAAGTTATATTATAAAGCCAGACAGCACCACTAAATTGCTTTGTTTTGAATGCCTGCATTTTGCTCCCCAGGAACAAACACTGTGCAATCCATTCTTATTACTGCTGGTCTTGTTTCAACACACAGCAAGAGAAGTGTATTACTTAATGACAGGATTTTCAGTAGTGTCTAAATCCCAGTGATTTAAATAAGAAAGCTGCAAGTATATCTTTCCTCTGTTACAGCTGTCAGCCACTGTAGAGATGCTGGCTGCTAAAATCTGCAGTGCCCTGGGAGTGACTGAAACAAAACATCTACTGCTGGCCACTCAATCCTTTGCAAAGCCATACAGTGAATTGTATGCCTGACTGAAGAGACATACAAATGACAATCTCCCAAGCCCATGAAAGAGAGGAAGAGCCTGCAAGGATAACAGCAATTACCCTCAGACTATGGCTTTCTGCCAGTATTTGCAATCAGGTGTGTCAAAGTGATGATGAGCTTTAAATGCCTACACAGCTGCAGCTCTCTTTGAACCCTTCATCTTCTTGCTACACAACTCATTTATGTCTTTGTTTACCTCTTCTCCCCCCAAAAATAAAACTAAAGGGTTACAGGTTTAGCACATATGGTGCTAGGAGTGCCTTTTTCTAAAGCAACAGGAACAACTGCATGGGAATCTGCATTCAGAAAGGAACTCCTGGCAGCACACGACCATGCCCTTCCCCTGTCACATGCCCAAAGCCATCGCCAGACAATGCTTATTTAATATCTGATGTTCAAAATGCATTCACCAAACGAACCAATGTCTTTTATATGGTGGTTGCTAGCTACAAAAATTAACACCCATTAAAAAACCCAACTAACCTCTACGCACTAATAACTGTAGAAGTCCTCACCCTGAATATCTCAGATGAAATTAAAAGGACTTGTACATATAAAGCCTTGCAAATTTCCTTCTTTACTAACTTCAAGCACTGGAAGATATAATCTACTACACATAGACAGGCAAGTTAGGGATCTCCGAATTTACCTGGTATTAGGGAAGCCAAGAATTGCTTTCATGTGGCAAATTCTCAAGGCAGTAAGGAATGAACTCAGTAAATGCTGGGTTATATACTGACAAAGACAGTCAGGAAAAGAATTGAGAAGATATATGCTACTCCATACTTTGTTGGGTATGGAGCAACCTTCTTGTCTCAAAAACAGATTTACTTTCTTTATTAATTTTGTGAGTAGGAAAGAAGGAATGGTGTGGAAGCTACCATGCTAGTTTTCAGATCCTGCTCTGGGCACCAAAACATCCCAATTTCACTCTGAGAAGTAAGAATCGCTGTTTATATAAATACTAAGTGGTTCTTACGTTGCATAGTAATGGTGTGAAAGACCAGTTCACAGATAAATCACCTGAAATATGAGGAGATAAGCACCACAGGAGTGACTACAGCCAAGAGTCTCAGGTTTTATTCTCAACTTCTAAGAGTTTGATGCCTCTTAACGGACAATTTTTTTAATGGAAGATTTTGAAAAAAAAATCAAAGGAAAAATGGTCTAGATATTAAAAACAGTATTGATAAGGTTTTCATCCCAACTATAAATTATTTATTTTCTTCATTTTGCTTTTTTATCTGTAGAATACAGAAAGCCTAATACAGCATGCTTCCTTACTGCCTGAATTATGAAGGTGAAACCCCTGGCTTTTGCAGAAAACTAGCCCATCAACTTATTTTTTATCCAAGTTTCCAGCCAACTTGTTCCTATAAAGTGAAAATATAAAAAAATATATTCAACTTAACAACAAAATTCATTATTTATGGCACTTCTCTGTAGTAAACTTCATATAAGAATATAGACACAAAATCATATTTTCAGCAGTAAAAGCAGCAAAAGTTCTTTATCTTCCCCTAAAAGGCATTTTTTTTGCTATCCATTCTGTTTTATGAAAACAATTGTAAAAAGAAATAGTTTCAGGCATACACTCAAAACAAACACGATGAAAACCCATTATTAGATAATGATTGTCTCTCTTGTCCGTTTTCACAATGTAGCAAAAATTTGGTCACGGTGAATAATTTTTACTGTTTCATCACAACCAGAAAGGACAAGTTAATTTTAGTTTCTTTAGCCTTAGGTCTCTCAAAATGACTATCACATCACACACTTAGTTTAATTCCAAATCTTTAAAAACACCGCCTGCACTATTACTGTGAATTCACATGCATACAAAATACCATTAGAAATGGCTTTCTATTAGAAAAACAATCCAGGATTGTAATTGACCACAAGAATCCAGACTTTCAGGGATTTACCATCAGATGCATGTTTAAATATACCTTACTCCAAGAGCAAAGCACAATGAATACACTGCAGTGTCAAAGAGTGCACTGTTTTCAGTGTTGCACTATCTTTGTTCAGTATTAGAGATCAATCTCAACAATATATTTCCATATATTAAATATACTCCACTATTGGTATAAAAAACCCCTATGGAGAAGCGTACTATAATATTCACATGAGGGGACATGTAAGGGAGAGCACTGAAAAAGCTGAAGATCATTCACTGAAGATAAAACAGGGAGAGTAATCTCATGTGCACTGCAGATATTAAGATACATGCAAATGTCTTGATTTAATCTGTTTATCTATAAGACCTGCTTATGAAATAGCTACTATGGATCAAAAAAAAATTAACTGCTGTTCATTCTATTCACACGTACTGTGAAAATATGCATTTTCTTTGTCCAGAAATCAGCTATGAAGAAAAATGCTTCTAGAAAGGAATTTGGCTTTTTGTTCTATAACCAGAAGGTTCTGCTGGAAGTGATAAAGCTCATTTAGACTAGTGAAGGATCTGTGCTAGATTTCCACATAATTTTGTTGAAGAATAAAATAGAATTATTCTATGGATGTGGGTAAGGTGATATTCTCATCTTCATGTTCCAAAGATAACTAAAAAAACCATAATGAAAGTAGAGAGGGTAAGCTGGATAATTCTGAAAAGAGGAAGAATTCAGAAACTCCACACTCAACAGCACCTTAACTGAAAGTCAAAGGCCTCAGTAGAGGAACCTTAGAGGCAGTAAATGTGCTGCCACATAGCATCTCTGTGTCTCTTTAGAAGGTAAGGACACATCTCTGCAGTAAACATCAAACAAAGCAAACCACAACTCCTTGAACTCCTTCGTATTTCAGGAAGGGACGTAACCATGAATTCAAGTTCTACCGGCCTAAATGAACTACATTTCAGTATTTGACAGGTCAGGTGCCATTTAAGCTAGGAGAGGGGTTAACCACCAAGTTTCAAATGGACGTTTTTTAACTTCCCCATCTACCTTTCGGTCCTTTGAAGAGCTTGATCTCTACGACGGTCTCCAGTATCGGTCTTCTTCGCCGGACGTAGAGTCTCACGATGGAGCCAGCCTCCTTCAGCGCCTCCACGGCTTTGCTGTGCGACACTTCCGACACGTCCACCTCGTTCACGCGCAGGATGCAGTCGTTGACCCTGCGAGACGAACAAAGGGCACAGGTACCGAGCTGTCACTTTGGACCACGCAAAGTTTTGTCAGCAGGGCTGTAAAATGAAGAATGCTTCACTGGGAATCATAGAATCGTGGAATATGATGAGCTGGAAGGGACCCACACAAGGATCATCAAGTCCAAGGCTGCCAGGTGACAGACTTAATGTAACAATATGCTTCACAAGCGAGTGAGACAGAGCACTCAGTCCTTCCAAAAGACACACCTGATTCACACTGGGGTCTACCCAATCACTCTCACCTACCACCTTCCTTAATAAATTTGGGTTACGTGTACTATAGTGATAGAAATCAGTAATAACTTGTCTTTATAGACTTCGTTAAAACAGTTTTAACTAAACAATATAATTGCTTCAAAACACTCATGCTCCATGCAATTACTACAGACTATACTAAGGACAACTATGGTTGCTCTTAAGGAAATCTCATAGTGATACAAGAGCTGTCGTAGCAAAAATGCTGTCCTACAAAAAAAGCAGATAATTTAAAAGAGAATGCTTGATGCTAAATAATTTACTCAAGTAAAATTCCTTGTTTTCAACAGACTGTAGGCTACAAGATCTGCTGTATGGTAAGCACGTTTTCTTTTTTATTAGAACACTAATAAAATTCCCTCATAGTCTTGCTTTGAACATTTACTACAGTATCTGAGGACAAACATATAATCACCCTCAATGTCCTCATTAGATGGAGCTGCATTCTTCTTATCTGACAGATTTGTCCTAGTTGGAAAAGAAATCTACAACTTAAGAGCAGTAAAATCTATCTCCAAAGCAGCAGGCTAATGACTTAACTACTGGGCCATCCTTTCTCTGCAAATGAGGACAAGTGAAAAGAGCAAATTCCAAAGAACGAGATTAATTGAGACTCTACTGCTCTTGTGCAGCACGTTTTTTGTGAGATGCCTCTAAGTATTTTGGGTACAGAAGAAAAAGGCATATTGTTAACGAATATGTCCTTCTGAATGTCAGAAAGGATAATCAGTGAAGCAAATATGGATTGCTAAAAATATTCTCATTTCTGCTATGTTTCTATACATAAAAATCAGCCATCAAATGTTATTCTTTACAGCAGAAGAAGACTTGATCTGGATATTGATTAGGAGTCTTAGCACATGGAGGAAGAATGAAACTTTACCTAAGTTTATCACAACTCTGAGAATTTAGGGTTTTTTTTTTTGTCACATTCTTGTGCTGCTGCTTTTGTTTAAAACAAACTCAAATAAAAAGAAGAAAAAGAACTCAGTTATTTGAAACTGGTCAAACTTGGAAAGGAACACAAAGTTGAAGCTTCCTTTTTGATAAAAAGTACTGTATCACAAAGTTTCCTGATATCATTCAAAGGTCGGTTGGTTTACTCCAATGCCAGAAGTTTTCATGGTTGGGAAAGGGCTTTAAGCAACTGGGTCTAATGGAAAGTGTCACTGCCCAAGGCTGGGAATGATGGAACTAAAGGATCTTTTAGGTCCCTTCCAACCCAAACCAAACTATGCTACTATGATTATATGCCTTTCTACACCTGTAGGCTTTGTTCTCCTTCTTAAGGAGGTAAAATTTTCATTTTCTAATAAATAAATACTATATGCAAGAACATGTGTGCATATGCTGCAACAAAATAAACCAGAAAGGATAATAGCAAAAAAAGTCAGTAAACCCAGTTTAAGAAGGTTCTATCAGATTATTAAGTGCATGGTCTTACCCCTTAGGGATAAAATTATTATGGCCTTGCAAACAGCTCTTCAATGTATTTTCCTGGCTTTATATCCACAAACCAAGTACATGGCAAAATTTTATTTTTGTGCTTTCTTTTCCCATTTATTGGTGGATCTGCACTATATCTGTAAGTTAGTTTCAGATGGTGATAGACCTGTGCCCAGGGGAAGATCTGCTTCATAATCCAAGATAACACAAGTCCAACACAAGACATCCTAGTAGTTTCACCAATACATACAGTAGTTGTATTGTCACATAATCATAATCAGAGAAAGGTTTGGGTTGGGAGTGACTTCATGCATCTTGTCTTTTTGGGTTGCCAGTGCACATTGCCAGGTCATGTTGAGCTTCTCATCCATCAATATCACCAAGTTGCTCTCCTCAGGCCTGCTCCCAAATGTTATGCATACACCTAAACTGATTCAGCACTGCAGAATCACCCACACAGGTAACAAATTAAAATGAGTTAGGCAGCTCTTCATATGGCACACTGGCTCATCTAAGTTCTTTAACATAATGAACATATTCTACAAAACTTTTGTAGTATAAATTCAATATGAAGGACCCTGGATAATTAAATATAGAGCACGTGCAACAATCATGCCAAAATGATAGAATAAATATAAGAGATACTTTGTTAAGGGGGAAGGTCAGGGTCTCAGAGGTTTACCAGTTGTTGCTGCTATCTTCAAAGCAGATAAGGACTTGCAGTAAGGAAAAAACCCCTATTTTTAAGGGTTTCAACTTCACTATATTCATCCGAGTTTGATTTTTACTGCTTTCAAGAAACTGCAGCCATCCTTGAGAAGCCAATAAACACTTCAGCCAACTTGTAAGTAAAGAAGACGAGTACAATCCTTAGGCACTTACTGGACATATAGTAGGTGACAACTGGTAATGATCATTCTGTTCCCTTGTTCTGTGCAATATGGTGCCCTGGAGGGAAACCCAGAGCAGTGTAGTGGCAGCTAAGAGCCCCAGAAGACCAAATGGTCCTGCCAACACACATTAGCCCACTTGCAGCTCCATAACAAAGCTAACTGGAACCAACTACAGAACAGGGGAATAATCTGTACTCCATGGATCAACATCATGACAATAAATCCTTTAGTAATCCACAGGTCTTAGTTATCATCCAGACACCTCCAGCTAAGTTGTATTAGTGGGACAAGGCTGCTTTTCAAAAGCAGAGTTACTATGCTTTCCACTGCAGAATGGCCAGCATTCATAGATTCTTTCTAACCAAAACTAACTGTTCTTTTATTTGCCTCCTCAGAAGAGCTCAAATTAATATGGACTTGATTTATTCCTGAGTCAGAGCATAGAAATCAAGGTAAAAATAGTTAAAACGGGAGAATGAATGCAATACTATGGAATGTATCAAGTAGATATATACCTCCATTTATCAGTATGGCAATACCAGATAGGCTACAAAATAAGACAAAGAAACACTAAACTTTCTCTTTTTCCTTTGCTCCTTTGTCTAACCTTTTTAGCTTAGGTTTCCCTACAAAACTGTTGATATTTTATTTCTTCCACTACTCACAAGAGCACAGTCCCTTAAGCAAGAACACAGGATTCCAGGTTGCAAGCTGAAAAGATAATTATCTTTTCTTCAAGAGTTCAGTAAGTAATTATAATTACATTATCTGACCCTAAGAGAAAATGTCTAGTCCATTAGTTAGAGAAGGATGACTCTCCCCTACTTTGCTTTTTTTTCTTTTTTTCAAATTCTGTACACACCCTTCCTATTCCATAATAACTAGAATTTGCAGCATATGGGGTAAAAAATGTACATATTGATGCTCATATAACTTCCTTCCAAGAGGACTTTTTAATTTCCACTAAGAAATCAGAATAAAGGATATCACATTTACTAAATCAGTCTTCAGATCTGACTTTAAAATCACAGAATACAGAGCTAGCACTAAATGTCAATGACATGTGTGCACCTTAGGGCACAGTTTCCTTATGTATAATGATCCTTACAGACACGATCCAATTTCTGTAGCAAATTCATGTATACTCTTAGACCCCTTCCTGACGTTGTAAGGTAGTGTAAAACTACTTCTATGTCTATTTCAAAAATAAAGAGATAAAACTTATCAGCGGAAGACAATTCCTGCCTGTCTCTGGAAGCTGGAGGGGAACTACTGCTTATGAAAATGCCTGATGAATGTAACAGCCAATCCTAACTCAACTTACGTAGCTTATAATGAAATTCCAAATATCTCATGGTTATAACTGAAAATACTACTTGATAAAACTTATGATGGGGGAGGGTTTTGTAACTTACAAATGACACAGCAGAATTAGAACCGAACTTAATTTGAAATCCTAGGATTGATTTTGATTTAAAAATATGTGGAAATATGGGTGCAATAAAATGGTAAACCCCACTGTATTTAACTTCAAGGCACTATTTGAAATATCGAATCTATCCTATGCTTCTAACAAGAAAAGAATTATCTTTAGTTCTGAGGAAAATAAATAAGGACTAAACCCACAGTGTTTCATTTCTGAGAGAAAAACATCATCCTTCAAGCCTCTGAATCAATGGCATTAATCGATTGCAGTGAAATAAATTCAATAAAATATGAGCTGCTCTCCAATAATGCTGGTCTGGTGCCATCCCAACTCTTCATGTGCAACCTCCACCAGGTTCTTCTTTCATAGTCTACAAATGTAGGACTAAAACCTCATCTGCATCCTGCTTCCTTTGTCCTGTTTACAGTCTACACAAGCTTTCCAGAGGAGAGTCTACACCTTCTTGGCTCACTCAAACAGGGACCAGCCCTCACAGCAGCCCCCAGGCATACTCAGCATAAACATTGAATAACCCAACAAAGCAGTCTCTGGCCTTTCCTGGCTGCACTCACCCTTGCAACAAGTCTTCAGAAGGAGAGTTGAAAGGCAAGCACCTCAACCAAGCACAAAGGCAGCTGTGTGCAAAGACAGGAACTAAACTCTTGCACAGCATTTCCCTAAGTAGATTCACCCGGGCAGATGGTTTCTCCCCTTGCACTGGCAAACCAGTTTCAGTGTGCTGGCCCCGGGAGCCCAAAGGCTGGTGGATGGCTGAGCTAACAAGTCTTGTTGAAAAGCAGTGCTTGCTCAAGCCTAGTGCAGTGCTTCTGCAGCCTCACAACTCGTATCAGCAACTGGAATGATTATCATCCCAGAGACTGAAATTAAAAAAAACCCTCATAAAATAGTTCTCATTTAAGTATTTGTGCAAATATCACTACAATAGA